CCACAAATCATTTTTTTCAGAGTGTGAAAATTAATTATGTGAGAGAATATTTTTAAATAATATTCTACACATAAAAATTTTGAGGCAGCAAAACTACAAAATTAATATCATTTTTTAAGAATAGAACATACATGTGCAATAAATATTTATTATTTTCAATATAATATATTACAATAAATTTGTACATTTTGGAGAACATCATGAAGCTACACAAGCCGCAAATAAACTAGGAAACCAATATAATGGTTCTTCACCTTGTAAATCTATCCAAGCTAAACCATGTCCAATTAAATACTCTAACACACTTTTACTACGAAGTTCGTCCCATCCTAGTTCTCTATTCAAAATACTGACGGACAAGTGGGCTTGTCCAATATCTGCTGCAATTCTTAAAGCTGCAGAGTGGTCCATGCTCAGCTCACCAGGAACAGATCGAACTAAGTATCGACCTTTACTTAGTGGAATTACTGTGAAACCGTTGCCAAAAACCTTCAGTTTTTTAGATGCAGCTAATAAATCAGCACATGTGATTTCTTGATGCTTCTTACTTTGTCCTCTAGCTGCGATTAATTTGGATCTTAATTCTTCCAGGGTTATTAATCCACCATTTTTTTCTGCTGTTGCCATGCAAACTTCAACGACTTGAACAGCTAATTCGTAATAGAAATCTCCAACGCCTAGAACTGACCAGAAACCTTTTCCTGAAGCTAGAGGATCTACTCCTATTGATGCGCACATTTCTTGGAACTGTCGACGGAATTCGGCGTTTTTACGTATTTCATTTTTGTGCTTCATAGCAAATTCTTCCAGATTTTCACGGAATACTTCTAATTGACGGGTCATTATTTCGAATTGGTTGTCTTGGATTTCGGTACCTTTATCTTTATATTTTTCTGACTCATATTTTTGCTGGTGCACAGCTCCTATACCAGCGCGACGACGCATTTTTAGGTTATATTTGGTCGAATTTTTGTTAATTGTTATTTGTTGAAATTATTTTAACAACAATTAATTTTAGAGCGCGCATTGGAATTCACTACATATAAAATATAAATAATAATGGAAGCCAAGAGATTTATTTCCTAAACGTCATTTGATGGACCTGAAGTTAGATTTGTATGACCCATCTACACGTCGTAATTAAATTAATTCATATCTTTTAATAATAATTTTTTATCAAACTAAATTAACTATTTTTTATTTATTTCACGAAGTACAACACGTTTATAAATACGGAAAAATACAACATGTTTATAAGCAAAATACAAATTATGGTAATATACGTCTTACTATGGTCTTACTCTCTGAACTCACAGAAAATTTATAGAAATAAAACTAATTTTTTGTAACCAATTAACGAACATGATTTATGATAAATAATGTTGAAAACTTATTCAAAAAATATTGGCAAGGGATAAATTATGATTTGAATATTCACAACTTTTTTTTAACGACCTTACTACAATCAGATTTATAAGCAATAACTATAGTTTCCTATTCAAAAACTATCATACAAAACTTTGAATGAAGGGTTTTAATTGGTAAAACTTTCATAAAGTAAATAATTATTGGACATAACCTAGAAAGAATATGAAAATGCACCCATAAAAATAATTTCGCACAACATTAAAAAATGCAATACACTAAATACATTTTTTGTTGAAAAAATTTTAAATTATAAAATACATCAGCATTATTTTAAAAACAATCTTAATGTTGATATTAAAAGTTAAAACTTTCAGAGAATTTTGGAAGCATTTGAGCTCTTGGGAGCAAGAAAATTCAAAAATATCCATATTAAGAATCACCCTAATTATATATATATATATATATATATATATAATACTATATAATTATATTATTATATAATTATATATATATATATATATATTACAAATGTATTCTGAGTGGATAATAGATATTAATTTGGAAATATGAACAAACACACAAAAAGAGTGTTGTTTGTTCATATTTCCAAATTAATATATATATATATATATATATATATATATATATATATAATTTTGCTTTATATACATATAAAGCAAAGTATAGAAATAAATTGTAAAGAAAATGAATTATAAATATAAAAAATGAAGAATAACTTATCACTAAAAAATTTAAGATATTGAGCAAGTTTAGAAATATACCTTAATTCTTTTAGAATGTGGCTCAGTCCAAACAAATCCTGCATCAACTAATTTTACACGATTTAATCCTTTCAATTTTTTAAGACACAATGAAAGCAGTTCCCTAGATTCTAATGCACAAGCAATCCATTCAGCTGGTGGATGTAAATATCTTTCACAACCACGGCAAAAATATAATGTGCACTGTTTAGGAATTCCTTCTGTAATATCAACTTGACCTCTTAAACATGCAACGCACATGTTTGCTGGATTCGGTTCAATGGCAACTCACATTCGCAGCACAAACTGGGAAAAAAATCCCAAAAATAAGTGAATAATTATACATACATTTATATACATTTAATGTAAATAAAACTGTAATTAATTAATATAATATAATAAATTATTATAAATAATTAAATATATTCAATCAGTTTAAAGAAAGTAAATGAAAATTGAACATATAAGAATAAGAACAAATCAGTCGAGAACATTGTTTAGTAAATAACATTCTGTTACTATTGGTGAGATCTTTATAATAAATTCATATAAATTATAAATCTTTATAATTAATTAAATTAGGGTACGAATTTTGTTTATACATGTGACATATAGTCAAGAAAATGTAGAATTAAAGAGGAGATAGAATAAACAGCCGGAATGGTCACATAACTTAAATATTACTCAGAGCTTTTCATTTAAGTTTAATTTGTGCATCTGATATGCATACAAAATAAATCAACAATTTTAACCAAAAATTACAATAAAATATTGTTTTAGGTTACTTTTCAATAATTTATTTAATATGCAAGATATTTGTTGAAACTCACATTTTTGTACTAATGTCATTGTTTAAATTTATCGGGTCTAAATTTTCCATTTTTTATTAATTTTCCAACGTGCACGTGCAAAAAATGAATGAAAATGAAATTTGTAAACTACTTATATATCAAGGCATGAGTGCTGTCATCTTAATACATACTACTAAACTTGAATCAATTCATACGAATTTTGTAAATGAGTAAGATTATTTTGGCACGAAATAATTACTTATAAATATAATTTAAACAATTTTATGAAGCTTATTTCATATAAAAGGTAACGTGTTTTTACTTTTTTAAAATCATTTCATAAACATTTCGTAAAATATTTTTAATCTCAATCAGTCTTATTAAGCAGGACGATTTATCATATTATTTAATAATTCTTTCATTATTTATGAAAAATATTAGGGAAAAGCGTTAGAAATAATGAAAATTTGCACATTTTTTTATTTTTTAAAATATATGGTTTTATATAATATTCACGTATTTATATAGACAAAACAATCACTCAAGACTATTGCTTCATTCCTACACACATATATAAGCAAGTATAATTCTTTGCATGTCAAATAAATTTATTTTTAAGTGAGTATTTTAGAAAATATAAATAAAATAGTATTTTTTGTCAATAAAAAATAATTTGCATTGATTTTGGAAATATATTATGTCAATTATAAAATTATTTGAATATGTCTAAGTAGTAATTTGATGTATAAAAATTTGCCATTTTATAAAGTGAGCAAAATTATGTAGGTATCACATGTCATTCAATTTCGGTATTGGTAAATATATATTTATATTTGAAGGAGTTATTAAAATATTATTTAAATTTGACTTGATGTAATGACTAATAAGAGTTAAACTTTCACATTGAAATGCCATTGTTTTTCCAACATATATTATATATTCAACAATAAATATACTCTTAAAATAGTAATATTTTATTTATTTTTAATATTTATTATATAATAAAGATTATTACCAATTGAATTGATTTTCTTACAATAAGGTGATATGGCTGGCAATAAACCAACAGCGAAAATAAAAGGTAATAAAGAAGAACGGATCAAGGGCAAGAAGAATGTTGACGTATATTCAAATTCCTGTGATGGCAGTTCATCTGGGAGCCCAAATCAATCAATGGATGATTTATCTATTTTACACAAATCTATACCAACAAGTATTGTTGGCTTTCGACAAATTAAAAATGCTTATGAATCGGCAACTGACGAAGTTAGTATTATCTTAAATTTGTTAGTTAAAAGTACAATTGTATAATATGTATGCAAATACAAACATATATACATGCACACACATATATATATATATACATATATATTATATATATAATATGTATATATATACATATAATATATATGTATATATAAATATATATATATAAATATAATATATAATATAATATATATATATATATCTCCTGTGTGTAGTGTGTGTTTTATTTACTATATATATATATATATATATATATATATATAATACTGTGTGTAGTGTGTGTTTTATTTACTATATATATATAGTATATAAAACCACACTACACACAGTATATATATATATATATATATATATATATATATATATATATATATATACACACATGTAACACGGTCTCCAAACAAACAACATGTTTCGTTTGGAATAAGCTTTTTTATAATAAAACATATTATTTATTTTAATTTTACAATTTTCAAAATTTTCATAACTTGACGTCTTTTCAATTTTTTATTTCATTTTTTTTTTTTGTTGCAATTTTGTGTTGTTCTTTGTGTTATTTTTTAAAATTTATTTGTATGCACTGAAGATGGGTCAAATCTTGACCCGAAACGTATGTTCCCTTGATAAAAACATTTTTCAATAAAACTGTTTTTTAGTTATTGGATGGATGCCCAAGAAACAATTTTATCATATATATATATATATATATATATATATAATATATATATATAAATATATATATTTATATATATATATATAAATTGAGAGGTTTTTTTAGATGGTGAAATATTTTAATAAACTTCTTCTTGGGCGTTCATCCATTAATTGAAACTATTTTATTGAAGTAAAAATATTTAATAGTCAAACGTTTCAGGTCCTGAAGTGCATACAAATAATTTGAAAAAAAATAAAAAAACATGGAAAATATAATGTACTAATTACTATATAATTTTCAAAGCACAACTTTAAAAAAAAAAAAATTAAAATAAACATTAAATTAAAATAAAATAAATGCAAAGGTTTTAAAAAAAGAACTCTTCTCATCGAGATATTATGTTTAGGAAAACATTAAAATAAAATAAATGAAAAGGTTTTAAAAAAAAGAACTCTTCTCATCAAGACATGGTTTATGTTTGGGAAAACATATCATATCTCAATGAGAAGAGTTCTTTTTTTTCAAAATCTTTTCATTTATTTTATTCTAATTTAATATTTATTTTAATTTAATAATTTTTTTTTAAAGTATGGACGCCCAAGATCAACTTTATTACAA